TAGTTAATCATGACAGCTCTGGAGAGACCTCTCTTTATTCTCAGTTCCTGGATGAGTCACAGGAAAATGAGCGTGTCCAGTATCACTCAGCTGCTGAGATGAAGCCATGACTGGAAACTTAAGGAATCTGCTTCCAGACTCTGTAGTTTATAGTCACCATCTATTGTAACAGAAGAAGGAGATGGACGAGGTAACTAAACACACTCCTCTCATGGAAAAGAACACTATATTCTCGTCTTAAGAATCGGTCGTAAGTGGCGTGTCATATTAACTGTCCTCCATGGGCATGGTCATTTTAATGTCTTCTAAGACATAGAATTTATTTCTTCTTATTTATTCAAATGATGATGTTATTCAAACAGTGATTTATTTAAACGATTATCTGCCACTTGCGAGGCCATAAATGGGTAGAACATATGGGTAAGAAAGAATGAATATCTTTTTTTTTTCAAATTGCTCCTCTGGGAAAAGACAGGGCCTCAGAAACAAGTGTGTGGTAAATGTCATGATGGGATATACAGGCAGCAGAAGGGTGTGGAGGGGGTAGACACTCCATTGGGTTGTGGCACTCTATCAACGTGATCAGATGTTCACACAACATCCCTGGCAATTTGCCTTCTCTGGAAAGAACCTAAAACTCAAATTTTAACAAAATCAGCTTTCTTTCCAGGATATGTATTGGGGCTTAATAATGTAACATGGAACCAGGTTACCTGAGGTTGCATCTTGGCTCTAGTAAATTTGAATGGCTTGCTTAACTTCCCTGTATTTCAGTTTTCTCCTCTAAATACTAAAAGTAGCTTTAGTAAGAGAATTGTTGTGAGACTGGAATGTGCTTGAATTATTTTGAACAATATTGCAAATACACGTTTTATATATATATATATATGTATATATATATATATATATATATATATATATATATATATATATATACAGAAATGCACCGTGCAGAAGGTGAGACTTCAGCTTGACCTTAAAGGAAACCCAACTAAATGATGCAAAGGTCATTAACAGTGTGGGGACTAGGCAAAGATGAGAAGGCTTGGGAGGTATACATGTAAAAGAGCCTAGAGATGAGCAGGGAAACCAGACTTGATCTGAATGAAGAGCTTTATGAACTATAAAAGACCATAAATTATCTTAGAAGTTGAGCACGTGGTATGACGTAATAAGATTTGTATTCTAGACAGGTCGCTCCAGTGCCACTAAAGGCAATTGGTGAGAAGGAATAAGTATGGGAGATCCCATTGAGAGTGTCATTGCAATGAAGCTAGAGAGATGGCTCAGTAGTTAAAAGCACTTGCTGCTCTTGCAGAGAACCAGAGTTCAGTTCCCAACACTCTTGTCAGGCAGTTCACAACTGCCTATAACTCCAGCTCTGGGAATCCAGTGCCAATGTTTGTACTCCGTGGGTAGTGACACATACCTGAATGGGCACATCCATGGACATACACACGTACACAGAGATGAGTAGTAAGTATTTTGAGAGTGTATTATCACAATGATTTTACTTCAGGGGAGATTATGAAAATAGGACAGCAATGAAGAGAAACAGAGAACTGAGCAGATTTGAGAAACATGACCAAGCGTTCATTTGAATTTCATGGATCCAAATCAGTGCCAAGTATAATGTAAAACATAAAGAAAAATAAAGCCTGTAAGCTCTCTGATTGGAGAATCATTTTCATTTTTATTGAAGTAACAGTTTGGTGAGGAATTTCTTTCCTTTTCTTCTTGTTTGAGTCTTAAGAGATTAATAACATTTCATATATTTTATAATATTCTGGTTTGATCTTAGAACCGTAAAGTAAAAGATGAATTTATTTTTAACTCAGGATTTAACATCATTCAGGAAAAGCAAAAGCTTTCTTCATAATCACATTCAGAACCAAAACAAAATTTTAAAGCAAGCAAATTATCATCAGAAAAATTAAACATTCTAAAACATTCAAAGCAGAGGTCTGAACATATTTCAGCAGCCAGTACTTGCAGAGCAACGTCTGGAAATGTTAATGTCCTCCTGACAAAATTTGTCACTTAAAGAAGAGAAAATTCAAGCGGCTTGTGAAGGTCACAAAGCTAACAAGTTGTCAAACTCTTACCCCAACCTAGTTTCCTTTAATAGCTACATCAGGAGACTGTCTCCAGGTAAGGCTCTATTATTGTGGCCGCTGTTATTGTTCACAGATGGCTGTCGCATCAGGCTCTCCCCACCCTGCATAGCACTCCTGACATTTTGGACTGGATTGTTTTAGCAGTTGGACAATCCTACATGCACGGCAGAGTGTGGTAGTTTTCCTAATCTCTCCCCACCAGCTGCCAGTCATACAGTCCTCCCCTCAAGATGCTGATAACCAAAACTGTCTCCAGATACTGACAAATATGCCCTCGGGGGAAAATGGCTCCAATTAAGAACGATTGTTCTCAAATCCTCCCTGTCCTTGAAATACCATCAACTTTAGCCAAGAGGGGGGGAAATGTGAGAAGCTGTGCATATTCTCTTACAGATTCTAAAATTTCTTCATTATTGTTTTCACCATGCTTATGCCCTTTTCTCAAAAAGTTGAGCACCTGTGTGCCTTTTCGAAAAGTCTGCCATTTCTACGATGATCTTTTCCATTTCTGCTCTCAGTTGGGTTTCCCCATTCCCAGCATTGCTTTACATCAATGAGCGCTGTAATCCCAGGCTCTCTTCTTGTCTGGCTCCATAGGTGGATTCAACCAGAAGAGGGATAACAAAGGAATGAGGTTGGTGGAATGGAAGAAGCAAGGTCTTGGTGCTGTATGACCTCCAGGGCTCTTAATCCTGCTAGTAAAATCCTTCCTCTTCTGTCCCTCTGTTGGTTCTGTCTTCCGGATCTCAGCATTATCTCCATCCTTTGCTCTGAAATATGTTAGCAATGTTTTCCTGCTGCTAATCTCTGGCTTGTCTCACATTTCCATGTAACTATATTCCTTTCCCATCATCTATGCAAGTAATTGCCACAGAATGAGTTATGTCGACCTGTGTTCCATATTTTGAAGCCCCAACTCCCATTGTGGAAGCATTTGAATAGGAAGTAATTCATGTTAAATATGGTCATGAGGTAGAACTTTATTCCGATAGCATCATTGTTGCTTAGGAAAAACATACCAGACCGAATGCTCTCCACCTTTTTTTTTTTTTTTTTAATCTCCCTTCTATACTTGAGGAGGGAGATTAAAGGAGTTGTCTACAGTAAAGAAAAGAGTCCTCTCCAAGAACTGGATCTACCAGTACCTTGCTCTTAAATGTTTCTCATCCAGGAGGATGAGAAATTCTGTTAGCTGTATTTTGTTATGGCAGCACACGGTGCCTGATGCAGTCATCAGCTTCTTGTACTATGCCTTTATTGTTTGAAGGGGCTGGAGGGCTACTGGTTTCCCACCAAGCCTGACTGGCAAAAGGTCTTTTCCTCACCAAGATAATGTAGTATTTATTAAGTTCCTATCATGTGTCCAAAATCATGCAAAAGAAAATTTAATATTCATTTTCTTAACTGTTTTCTTCAAAAATACTGTAAGTTGTTCTTGTAAAAAAACTGCCTTCTTTGGCTTCCCTCATGCTCAGAAGAAGGGAAAGAATCTATCATATTTCTCTTGTATGCTACTGAATGATCACAACTACTTTAGATACTATGACATAAAAAGTATAGGTCCTGAGTCATTTGGACCCAGTCACAATTCCTTCACTTGCTGTTGAATTAGCCTTTCTAGGCCATGGTTTTCTTAATTGAAAACAGGGCTAGTAATACATAAGAGGATTGTTCTGTGTAAAGTGTGGAGAAGATGTTTAGAGGTTGAGAAAGTACTCAGTAAATCTATAACTTTTAGCTATAATTTACTGTGTACACATTCTGTGCTAACCACTATGTACTATGGATATAAGCACAAATAAAAAATGCTGTCTTCAGAGTTTTGATACACCACAGGCATGAACAAAACAGTAATTATAAAAATATGACAAATTAATGGGCTGGTGTGCTATCAGAAAGCCAACTTGAACTTTGGGTTTTGGGAGGCTTCAGTCAAGAATCTTTCTTCTGCCAATCACAAACTGTTTGAGTCACTTCGCTAGGCCTTCATTGTCTCACCCGAAAAATGGGTGCAGTGATGGTGTCTACTTTATTGGGAAGTGTGGGGAAAGGTGAGACAATAAGTGAACCTTTTGCTATAGAGTCCTTGGCAGATGGCACATTCCCACAGAAGAACTATTACTTTTGTCATTGATGGGGGACCCTAGAGGAGGGTTTGCAATTCATCAAGCATGTCCCAAGTTTCCTACTCCTTGGCTGTCACTTTGAACAAACACTCCCACTGTCACGGGTTTGAAGCTCCAGCAGACCTCGGTGCAGAGATTTGTAAAGAAATGCGCATGTGAATACTCCTCTCTGACTGAAAGAACTGGGAGGTAGCATTAGGAAGCAATGCGGTGTACTAAGAACAGCCTCATTGGACAGTGCTCACACAGGCGTACGCACAACCCCAGAGTTTCACACTTACAAGTTATTAATTTCACTGTATGTTATATTTCAGCAGAATGTAAAATTAAAAACATATTTCCACAAACTAGAAAAAAAATGTTGTTTTAACTGTTGTGTCCCATAGGAAGATCCAGAGAGGTAGAGGAGGTTCTAAGGTTGGGGTATGGGCACCGGTTTTGTTTGTTGTTCTGGGTAGTTTTTTCTTTGGTTGGTTGGTTTTTGTGCTCAGAATTCACCTGCACCATAGAGGCACAAATTTTTTTTTTAAAGATGGTGATTTACACAGCTGGACCATTCTTAATTATTTCAACTGCAGACAATCTCATCATCAGCACTTGATATACCTGTGTTTTTGAAAAATCCCAGATTCATTGCCCTGTTTTCTACAATCTTGTCACTTAGAAATGTGGTTATTGCACTGCGAAGCCACAGATGAGTGTTACTAGAGGCACAGAACCACCTGAACACAATGACCAGACACCAAAAAAAAAAAGCTTCGACACAAACACATTTTATTCTGAGAAAAAGTAAACAGCCATTTTTATTATGTCCCTCACATTTAAATATGCTGACTATATGTGAAGATATCTGTAGCCAACCTAGGCGAGACATTCAAATAAGACATTTGCTCCTGATATTTACAGTGCTTGTGAATTTAACGTTACAAACCCAAAGCAAAAACGGAAATGGTATTTATGATAACTTGGTAAGTGCTCAGGTTCACTTGCTCCCAATCTGGCAGTACAGCACCATAGAAAACACCAAACCAAGAATCTAGAAAAAAAAAAAAAAAAAAAAAGCACAGGATTAATGTGGACTGTAAAGGATCACACGGAAAAGGGAAGATGTCTATTGACTGTCTTATGGGAAATTAGACTGCAGTGGAACAGGGCAATACGGAAGACTGATTGCAGATCTCTCTCTCTCTCTCTCTCTCTCTGTGAGAGAGAGAAATGGGGGCTTTTCAGTTTGTCACTCAGTCTTCAATGACCCTGCTTAATTGTGCAGTACCAGCTACTACTACAGGATTCTCTCCTCTTGTAGCAGACACACATTTTTCAGTAAACATTTCCCTCTGAGCTCAGGGTACCGCCAACCTGCGCAGTAAATACACTTATTGATTGCATTGAAAAACCATGGTCATCTGGTTTGGATCATCTGCACAGAAATCAAGGGGTCTAAAATTTCTCCTGCTAAAGTTTTAGGCAATGCTTAGAAGTGGGGGGGGGGAAGTAATTTTTGAAGAAGAAAAGCACTTATAAATTATGGGTAATAGGTTAACTCCGGAAGTTCCTTTTGAAGTAACAAAACACAACTGAAAATCTAGGGCGTGAATTCCATCTCCAAAAGTAAGGAACCTTGGAACTAGCTCTAATTGGCTTTGTACTTGGTGACTTGAATGTTTTGCTTTTTGATGTGCAAAAGATAGAAACAAGCTGCGTGCAGGATCAATGGAAATTGTACCCTTCCCTGTCTCCTTTGAAAGGAGGCCTGGGGGGCGGGGAAGAAGGCGCCATTAGAACTGTGTTAATTTTCTCACTAATATCTTCCTAGAAACATAATTCAGATGAAAACTGTTGCCAATTTTTTTCTGTCTTAAAAGAAAAACAAAACAAAACAACACACAAAATCCAAGTATATAGCAGTTCTCTAAAGCATGGGGCACAAAAAATAAAGAAAATGTCCAAAATATCGAGCTACAGCATCTATAGCCTTCATTGCCGTGAGATAGACGCCTATCACCCATCGAGATAGAAAAAGCTTTAGACTGAAGAACTGAACGAAACACATTTGAACGGTTGTTTATATCAATGTTTTATTACTAAGAGCACACTTCCTTCATTTCTTTACATCTGTTAAGAATATTTATGTCCATAAAATATGTTCATCATTTTATGATACGTGTACTAAGACTCAAGGCAAACTTGACACTCAGTGTTTCTTCACAGACTCCCGCATGCAGAAGCTGTTTTTTTCAAATGTGGTAAAACAATTGCTTTGTTCCTGGGACCTCCTGTGAAGCTAACTTTCATCCTATTAAGTGATGAATATTCTGTCATATGACAATTTTTTTTTGGTTTAGTTAAGGTAAAACCGAAAAATGCTGACAACTCTTTAATAAGAATAATAATCTGCTTATTTAACTCTAGATAAGGAATCCAAACATCCACAGATGATTTCTTTTTCAGAATCAAGTATGAGCACCTTGTTTGAGTTTCTAATATGCACTCTTAGGTACACAGTCTTAACAAAACTTCCACCTAAAGCCTAAATATCAATATGATTTTTGTTGTTGTTGTTCCTGAGAGGCTAGTCTATGTATATTTTCTGTATTAGGTCTGTGGAAAACTACTTCTATTTCTTTTAAAATGTTTATAAAAAGAGATTTTTCTCTCTATGCATCTTCATGTTCCCTTGAATTAGGAAGCAAAAAAGAAAAGTGCTAAGAGACTTGTGTACTGAATGACTCTAAGACTAAAGTCTCACTGGGGGCATAGTTCTACTGACTGGGTAACAGAGGACCATTTGCAAAGGTCTCCTTCGAATAAGGCATCAAATATTTTCCTTTACATCAAACTCTAGAGGGAAGGCAGACTTTAGATTGAGAAATGAAACAAGAAACATATCCAACAGTTCTTTCAATCAACTATTCACCATATCTATGTTTAGTACAGACATCGCCATTTAACCATCTCACTAATGGTTACACATAATAACAGCTCCATTCTAACTCCATAGTGGTAAATTACTGAACATAATGGTTTTATTCAGGTATTTCACTGGAAAGACATATAGGAGAATTAATAATGTCCCTGAGTGTGTAACAAGTAAAAGGAGTATATCGAGTTCACAAAATATTGATATGTGCTATTTCTCTTACAATCCTATTTTCCACTAGATCTGTTAAGATTCTTGGCAATAACTTTGGCTACAATATGTAAGCCACCAATCTTTCCAACCAGTCATGTTACTATTGGCTCAGCTTCAACAAACCTCTTAAAAGCATACGTGAGCTCTATTCTGTCATAGCCGTCTCTCTAAATTTGAGTCCAGCATGAAATGTAATGCTTAACCTCATTTAAGGCCTGCTAACCCAATCTTAGTTATTTAGTGAGTAAACCCAGGTCTCTGGTCGTGTTGTCCTCATGCTCCACCACCAAGCTATATTCTCAGGCATGATCACTCGTTTAAATTCAACTCTGTCGAAGCACAAGTGAATGTGTGCCATGTGTTTATATGACATGAGTACATATGTGAGTCTTTTCTCACCTTTGTAGCCAATGTCTCTAATTTTTAAATTGGCATGAAGCCAGAATATAAAGCAAATGAACAAAGGGCAGGAGACAAATGGCAGAATCAACAGAAATAGACCTAAAGCAAAGTAACTTCTGACTTTGACCATCAGATACAAAGAAATCCTTGCTCTATCAGCATAACCTGTTTAATTTGGGCTATGAGAAAGTAATATTTTTTAGATGCTAGTAGTACCTAGTCTTTTGTGATATTTGGCTGAGAAATTCCAGCAGGAACCACTTAGAAATTATATTACTTTAGTCTCAGGCAAAAATTCCTACCAAGCACTGATGAAACAGGAGGCTGCAGTCTACTAAAGAACCCAAACAATATTGCCCAGAATTCCATGAGACTGAAGCAAATGTCATTCAGCAGAGATTAGCAGGGAGATACCACACAGTGTTTTAATTCTTGCTACTGTATTGACATAAGCTCATGAGTGACTCTGACTCATTTGATATCTATATTTTTCAAGATCTGAGATAATTCATAAATGCTCCTTTGAAAATGTTTTATTTCATCTTCTTGGCAAGTATATGGAGGCAATATAAAAGTTATTCTTCAAGTTATAAAAAGAAATGCCAGGAAAGTCTATCAAGATAAAAATCCAATAGAGAATGTATTTTTCAACATCAATAATTGAAATGATGAAGTGATACTCTTGCCTCACTCAGAGCTTTCCTGGAAACATCTCCAAGTCTGTTTATAGTACCTAAGCTGAGAAAAGGCAAGGAAATGACATCTACTGTTCATAGTTCTTGGATTTCTCTAGAAAGAGTGACAAGAAAGCATTTACTCATTTCTTTGACTTTAGCTTTTATGTCCTGCTTCAAGATGGTGGCTAGAAATAAGCAACTTTGAGGGCTGTTCCTTCGTGTTTGTTTTCTGCTTTCTGCCCCACATCAGGAAATTTTAACACTTGTACCAGTTTTGATGCAAAAAGGATACCTACAACTAAGAATTGTATAGCTATCAAGCCTCAGTACTTCTTGGTTTAGAGGACTATAATCCTACCTGTTCCAGACTCAAGAATTGATTCAAAGAGATGCTACATGCTGGCCATGTATACCAGGTGCTTTTGAAACACTCTTATTTGGCTCTTCATTGTTACAAGTAATGAAGAGTGGAATGAATGCAGAGACAATCGCGCTGTTATACTGTACCTCGATAACTGCCAGTCCAAAAGCAATTCCAATGACTATAATGATGTTCTTTTCAACCATATCTTTTATAAAACCAAGACAGGTCTGTTTACAAAAGAAAAAAGAAAGAAGCATTGCTTTTAGTGAAACTTTTATCTCATATTGGTTTTAATACTTCCGGTAGACTTTTTATATTAGTGCCAAAATCAACAAAAATAAATTGAACTATTATTCTTCTACTCCTAGCCTTCACTCTAAAGATCATTTGAGCCATTCTTTTTTAACCTTTAGCTACATAGCTCCTGATGGTTGAGACGGGATACTCAATAGAGAGACACCAGGCATATCAACCACTCCTGGACACACCTCATATGCAGGAGAAGTTGACCATCAAATAACAGACTCCACAGTTTGTGTGTGTGTGTGTGTGTGTGTGTGTGTGTGTGTGTGTGTTTATTTGGTTACAATTTGGTGGGGGAAGGGGAGTTGTTTTTGTTTCTTGGGGGTCTTGCTGTTGTACTGGATTTTTATTTGTTTGTTTTTGGAAAAAGTACTTAAACGTGGGAGGGTAAGGTGAGAGAGTGGATCTGGAAGAACTTAGGGATGAAAATAATATGACCAAAATATATTTAAATTTAAAAATTGTTTTAAGTATTAAGATATAATAAAATGACAAACTGTATCCCAAAGGCAGAAAGACACACATGGTAGATACTCACTTATATAGAGCTATAAGATAGGATAAATATACTGAAATCTATGCACCTAAAGAAGATAAATAAGAAAGAGAACCCAGGGTAAGATGATCAATCCTCACTTAGAAAGACAAATGGGATGGACATTGGATATAGGAGCAATCAAGTAACAGGACAGGAGCCTACCGCAGAGGGCCTCTGAAAGACTCTACCTCGCAGTGTATCAAAGTGGATATTAAGACTCATAACCAAACCTCCAGCAGAATCCAGGGAATCAAAAAGGGGGGGGGGGGAGTTAATACGACCTGGTGAAATTTTGAAAAGAAATTTATAAGTAAATATGTAACAATATATCTCCAAGCTATAATATTCATAAACAAAAAATCATGGATTATGTGGGCTTGTGACCTGAATGAGGGAAATCTACTGCTGAGGTTATGGCTAAATGTAGAGTAGATTTTCCTCTTAAAAACAAAGAATTTCAAATCATTTAATTAAGAAATAAGACCACTATTTTTATCTTTAAAAGATCCACTATGTGTGCTTTTCTGATATTACTTTAAGAAAAAGAGTTTAGAAAGTTGTTTCTCTAATACATTAACTTGAAATGTATTCAAAACAGCCTGGAAATCAAATTCTAAAACATTTCATACAAATTTTAAACATTCCAACAATTACAAGGATAACTTTGTAAAATGGAAAAACTGCACAATGTTATTTATGAACTATGTAATGAACTATGTCATCCCTGTGGCACCCATATGTTTATGAAGACTGACCGAAATCATTCTACTTGCTAGAAGCAGAAAAACAAAATATCCAAGGTTGGAAAGGTCTTTCCGCAGCTCCATTCCTTAATGTAATGGACTTCTTCCTTCACATCTAGTCCAAAGGAGTAAACATCTGAGACTGTCCTGGCAGTTGGGGCAAGAGGGAGATGAATGACTGCATCTACTGATTCATATTCATCATATCCCTGTCTTCCTACACCCAAGAAAATAAGGTTAGCTTGGCAGAAGGGAGGGAAGAAAATAAAAGGAGCCATGAATGATGTCCATTGCAGATTGTTTATTTTTCCAGACTTGCAAATGACACACGGCAGCTAGAAGTAGTCAATGAATGTATGACCTTCCTTGTAGGGTGCTAGGGCAGCTGTTGGCTTAGACTCAAAAGACTTATGTGTGAACTTTCAGGAAAGATCATTTTATAAGTGCTTTTCAGAATATATCTTGAGGAAAATCATCTTTCCTGAGTCTTTCATAGGAAGTAGAGATTCATGTCAACAGAGTCTGTGAATTTCCTCATCATCCTAAGGGGAAGATACATACATTCGCTGGTACCAGATAATGATTTCCATTCTAACTTGGAAATAATGTGTTGCTAATTTTGGTACACAGGAGGGAATCAGAGAGACTTGTAAAATGTTAGAATAAAAGAGATCTAATTGCTATTATTTTGACAGTGAAATGACACAATAATATTGTCATCTGGTAACTTCTCCCCATGAATTACTGTAAATATGAGTGACGCCAATGCTCCTTCAGACCAGAGCCTCGATAGCCCTCAAGAGATCAAGGACAGTAGTCTAGAGAAGAGGATGTCTTCTCTATAATTTGGTGTTTTCTTTCATTTATTAATGATACCACAATTGGTAAATAAGAACAATGATAAATTGGAAATAATCTTTGGGTATCCTAGACACTTATTTATTGTGGGCTGCAGTAGCTTTTGTGGCTCTCTCCTGACTAGATTATAATCAGATGTTAAAGCCTTTATGATGCTACAAAGGTATAATTAATATAAAGTAGTCTCTGAAGAACAGCAGTAAAAAAAAAAAAAAAATTAAACATTAATGACAATTTTCCTGTTTGCACTAAGCCTTTCCAGGCAGCAGAAACAGCTTAGTGAAAAGCCTTATGGTGAGGGAATACATGTCAGGTGTCACATGAGCCCATATTTGGAACTTCAACGGTTAACTTAGATGGGGACCACCATAACACTTGTGTTGTCTCCAGCTCAAGCATTTTAGTTATCTTTCAAAGCTGCCTGGCTATTCTTCTCTCTCTCCCCTATTCGACAGTCAGATTCCATGAGCAGAGATTTTATACCCTATGATTTATACCATACTGATTTTCAGAATCAAATGTGAATGAAGAATGGATCTCCAGATAGCCTGGATTACAGGAGGTACTCAATAACTATTTGATAAGTAGTCATAAATTTTTTATTAAAAAAATACATAAAAAGTGGAAAGTGGAAACTACAAGTCAGATGCCTAAATTGTATATAATACATGGAAGATAGACACTCACCTTTTAAATCAATTTTGCATATTCAAAACAATTTCTCAATTTTAATGATAAGTAGATAGAGTAACAAATATATTTAACATCTGGAAACTAAAGTCCTAAATAAAACTTTTGTTTATACTTACATGGGTTCTTGGGAAAATGTCTTATGACTAAGAAAAAGAAAAAGACTGACTTTTGAAAAAGGAAGTAAAAATATTAATTTCCAGAACGTTTACTAAGATAAAAAAATTAGAGGATAGTAACTGTAGTCACCAAAGACAGAAAAAAAAATTAACTTTTATGTTAATTTGCACTTGGCTGAACTTTGACCATTGAAAGTTGGTTTTAAATGATGCTAAGCTCATAGACAAAAACACGTTCATTTTTAAAAATATCTTCTTTTATATTTAATAAGGATTAGCTGTATATTTGTATAATTGCATATTTCATATTTCAGTTCTTCTGGTGGTTGCTGTATTTTAAGTTTTTATAGAGAAGGCCACTGGGAAAAAAATATAGCAGAACTACTTATTGCGCCAAAGTAAATCTTTTTCTCACCTGTGAATAAACATTAGTATTCTGATAAGTTGAACAAGGAGGTTCTGTACATTTACATGACTCTCTTGCAGCTTGAAAATTAGATCCCCAGTCTTCAGGTCCTTTGGCCAAGCCACAGCATTTAAACTGTGAAAAGAAAAGCAGAAGGGAACTCAGTCACTAATGTAACCAGAAACATTGGCATTCACTGAATTGCTCTTCTGAATGTCACTGCAAAGGTGTCTGTTATGCTAAAATATAAATATTATTTTATTTATGGGTTATGTGCATGTGCTTGCCTGCATCGCATTTGTGTGATCATGCATTTGCACTATGTGTGTTCGTATGCTTGTGTGTGTGCATTTGTGTATGAGTGTGTGTGTGCATATGCTAAAGTATGCCACGTGTGTCACATGCTCACAGAAGCCAGAGACGGTATGGGAGCTGCTGGAGCTGTGTTTAAGGGAGTTATGGCCAGTTGCGAGCCAGCAAACACAGCTGCTGAGAACTGAGCTCCTCCAGTCCTCTGACACCAGCGATTTTCTTAGCCACTCAGTGGCTCTGAGCCCCCAAACCACCTCTGCAGTGCTCCTTATGCTGAAATATGATACATCACCTTATCCATACAGAGCACACACACACATAATTTAACAAAATAAACTAAAAATGAAATCTACTTTTAGAAAGGAAGGAATAGTTCATTTTGGTCTGAACAGCAATAAAGGAAAAGTCACTAAGATAGAAAATGTTTGAAGAAATTTTAAAAAAAAATTAAAAATGAACAAAATTCCAGATTATTGCTATTACAAATAAAGCTGCTATGAACATGGTTGAGCAAATGTCCTAATTGAATAGTGGGGCAACTTTTGGGTATATGCCCGGGAGCGGTATTGCTGGATCTTGAGGAAGTGCTATTCCCAATTATCTGAGAAAGCTCCAGTTGATTTCCAAAGTTGTTGTACGAGGTTACATTTCCACCAGCAATGGAGAAGGGTTCCCCTTTCTCCACATCCTCTCCAGCATGTGTTGTCACTTGAGTTCTTGATCTTAGCCATTCTGATGGGTGTAAGGTGAAATCTCAGGGTTGTTTTGATTTGTATTTCCCTGATGACTCAGGATGTTGAGCATTTCCTTAAGTGTTTCTCTGCCATTCTATATTCCTCTGTTGAGAATCCTCTGCTTAGCTCTGTACCCCATTTTTAATTGAATTACTTGATTTGTTGATGTCCAATTTCTTGAATTCTTTATATATTCAAGATATTAGCCCTCTGTCAAATGCAGGGTTGATGAAGATCTTTTCCCAGGCTGTCGTTTGTCCTATTAACAGTGTCCTTTGCTTTACAGAAACTTTTCAGTTTCATGAGGTCCCATTTATTAATTGTTGATCTTAGAGCCTGTGCTGTTGGTGTTCTGTTCAGGAAATTGTCTCCTGTGCCTATGAGTTTGAGACTCTTCCCCACTTTTTCATCTAATAGATTTAGTGCCTGGTTTTATGTAGAGATCTTTGATTGACCTGGACTTTAATTCTGTGCAGGGTGAAGATATGAGTCTATTTGCACTTTTCTACGTGTAGACATCCAGTTAGACCAGTACCATTTGTTGAAGATACTATTTACTCAACTGTGTTCACAGCAGCTTTATTTGTAATAGCCAGAATCTGTAAACAACCTAGATGTCCCTCAATGGAAGGATGGATACAGAAATTGTGGTACATCTACACAATGGAATATTACTCAGCTATTAAACACAAGGAAATCATGAAATTTACAAGCAAATAAGAGATCGTCCTGAATGAGGTAACCCAGAAACAGAAAGACAGGCTTGGTGTACACTCACTTATAAGTGGATTTTAGCTTTATAATATAGGACAACCATCTACAGACCTAAAGAAGCTAAACACTAAGGAGGACTCTAGGGAAGATGCTTACATCTCATTCAGAATGGCAAACAGGACAGACACCAGAAGCAGCGGAAAAGAGGCAACAGGATGGGAGCCTGCAGGTCCTCTGAAAAGACTTACCTAACAGGGGATCATAGCAGATGCTGAGACTCAGGGTCAAACTTTGGACAGAGTGCAGGGAATCTTATGGAAGAAGAGAGAAATGGGAATAGAGTGTCCTGGAGGGGACAGGAGCCCCACAAGGAGAGCAACAAAACTAAAGTATCTGAGCCCAGGGGGTCCTGCAGAGACTGAGACACCAAGGGAGAACCATACATGGAGAGGACCTAGACACCCTGCTCAGATGTGGCCTATTGGCAGCTCAGTCTCCATGTGGATCTCCATGAGGGGATCAGGGGCTGCCTCTATCAGGAATTCAGTTGACTGTTCCTTGATCACTTGTCCTTGGTGAAGTGGCCTTGCCAGGCCATGGAGGAAGAGTATGCAGGCAATCCTGATGAGACTTTGCAAGCTATGGGCAGATGGCAATAGTGGAGAATTCTCTCTTTCAGTGGATTAGGGGAAGGGGAGGGGGGAAGAGGGTGGGACTGAGGAGAGGTGAGGGAGGGTGCTTCAATCAGGATATTTAATGAATAAATTGTAAAGAAAAAAATTAAAAATTAAATAAATAAACAAAATTCTTAACCTTTTAGTTTTAACAAAAAGAGAAAGAGTCCAATCTATGCATCTTAGGTTCACAAAAAGTCAAGTTCTCAAGTTCAAAAAATACACATACTGCTCAATTTTTCTAAGAAAATTTGAAAATAAAATTTTATTCCATTATTTCTGTGCCAGAGACTTTTTAAAGACTAAAGGTTCCAGGACCTCCCTGAGACTGAATTTTCGTAGAGATCCTTAAAATAGGAAAGCAAGCACAAACGAAAGTTTAACCGTTCAGGAAAAAAAAAAAAAAAATGTCATAGAGATGAAAGCCTAAACTAATCTCACTAAAGGAAAAGAGGATGTGGCTGTGCTCCAGGAAGAAAAGCAAGAAAGTGGGTGTGACACAGAACATTACTGGATGAGGATGAGGAAGAAAATCTCTCCATCATCTCCTAAGTCATCTATTGGAGAGAACACTTCATGAAGAAACTGTTAGAAAAAGTTATTAAACAACAACAAATACTGGTTGATCTTTCAGGCATGGATTTAACCCCAGCTTATCAGGAAACAGAATTGGGCAGATGTCTGTGAGTTCATGGACAGTCTGATTTACAGGGTGAGTTCCAGGACAGTCAAGACTATGTTGTGAGACATAGACACACACACACACACACACACACACACACACACACACACACGCACAAAGTCTGAGCACACATCTTAACTCTCAGAGGCAGTTGGGAGGCAGAGGCAAGTGGACCTGTGAATTTGAAGCCAGCCTGGTTTATAAAGTGAGTTACAGGACAAAGAGAGCTACTCAGAGAAACATCTGGCTTAACTTGAGGCCCACACCAGAAGAGGGAGCCCGTGTTCTAGACTGCCTGGATGCCCAGGAACTGGAGCCTGGATAGCCCAGAGACCTAGCGTAGAACTAAACACAAGTAGAAAAAAAATGCTTCTTAATAATATTCTGCTAGACTCATAGAGTGGTACCTTCTCCAGTCATCATCAGAGAGGCTTCTTCGAGCAGAAGATGGGAGTGGGTGCCCACACCATACATTATGAAGAGAGAGAATCTAAATTAGAGATATCCATTGGGTCCCTCCCCTTGGAAATTGGAGAACTCCAAAGAAGAGGGGAAGGAAAGAATATAGAAGTCAGAGAGGCTGGAGAATACCAGGAGAACATGGCCTATTGGATGAACAGGGGTCATATGGGCTCACAGAGACTGACGTGGCAAGCCTAGAGCCTGCATGAGTCTGCAGCAGGTCTCCTGAATGCAAGTTATAGTTAGTTGTGTTGCTTTGGGTTTTTTGGGGGGAAGGGGAAACTCTTAACAGTGGGAGTGGGTGCATCTCTGACTCTTGTGCCTGCCCATATGACGTCTTTCCTTCTATTAGGCTGCCTTGTCCAGCCTCGATATGAGGTCTTCTGCCTTGTTTTATTGTATCCTGTTTTGGCATGTTTGGTTGTTGTCTCTTGAAGACCCACTCTTCTCTGAAGAAAAAAAGAAGGGGGAGTAGGTCTGGGGAAGAGGAGAAGTTAATGGAAAGCTAGGAGTGAAGGGAGGAGAAGGGAAAATTGTGGTTGGTATGCATTATATGAGAGAAGGATATATTTTTAATTTTAAAAAGAAAAAGATAACAAAACATGACAAAATAATATATAAGATGAATGAAGCATAAAGTTTCATATTAAGATGAACACAGCAACACAACAAGAGGAAGAGTCCCAAGAGCCGGCAAAAAAGTCTTATAGTCAGGAGGCCCATAAAACATCAAGCTATAATATATATGCAGAGGACCTGGAGTAGACCTACAAAGGCCTGGTGCTTGCTGCATTTTTTTCTGTGAGCTCATATGCACCTTGCTTTGTTGACTCAGGGGGTCTTCTTTGCCTGGTGTCCTTCATACCCTCTGGCTCTTACAATCTTTCCACCTCCTCTCCAGCAAGATTATCTGGGATCTAAGGGAGGATTTGATAAAGACTAAGGATTTGATGAGGACTTCCAATTTTTCCAGTTTAGATTCTCTCTCCAGGATGTATTGTATGAGAGATGAATCTACTTTTAAATGAATAATAAGAAGAAAGAGAGGGAAAGAAAGAAAGAAAGAAAGAAAGAAAGAAAGAAAGAAAGAAAGAAAGAAAGAAAGAAAGAAAGAAAGAAAGAAATTAACCACAAAAAAAATAGGCAAAGAACTTCCATTCAATGGCTATAGTTAGGTGGCCATACTATTCTTATTTAGAGCCCATCTTGCCAAAGTTTCAGTTGCTGATAATGGGATCTAATCTCCAGATTTGCTGTAAAGAGAAAAATGAGAAAATCTATATAAAGTGATAGGCCCAGTGCTCAGCATATAAAATCTACTTTCTAAATATATTACCACTATAATGTTCTGATCACTATCTGTTATACTGTCTGTGCTATGCTCTCAAGTGAACATGATCACTTCAACATCATTATAAATGATTTAGGTAAAGACAGGGAAGTATGTGTCAGACACTATAGAGCAGTGAAGTTGCAAAGGAGGTCCAAATAATGAGCTTAAACTAACAAGTTCAGTTGAGACAAGTAAATCTTCTTGGGCTTTTGTTCAAAAACTGATGTCCAAACACATGATTCAATGTTCTTATGATAAAAAGCTGAAATTTTAGGTAGTTCCAAGGTCAATATTAGCAAGGAGGGCTTTCTTCAAACAACCTCCTTCTTGTTCCCATAATAGAGACTACTAATGGCTTACTCTTTCTGATTATGTAATTTTGAATAATATCAATCATTGGGGACTTGCTGTATAAAATAGAATATAAATCCCATATATATGATATATATCTATATCACTCCATATTTGAAAAAAAAAAAAGGAATGCCTGAGAAATAAAGAAGAAAGGGAAGGAGATAGAAAAGCTAAAACTTGTTATGTTATCTACTTTCTGGACTTGCAATAGAGCAGTTAACGAAAAATTTTTGTCAGAACAAATTGTAAGTTGTACGACCATTGGATGGAAAAGGCCAGAGTTAATGACACATCACCCTTATATAAATACGTATCAAGAATTCTAGAGGGGGACATTCCATTGCATGTTAGGAGGGAATTTGTGTGGGAATTTCCTGAAATGCAGAGAAAGACATACAATCTCTGAAACTTCTGTCTATATGTATTGTGTCAGCAGATAAAACAGAGTTTGGAATAGGACCCTCTTCCCAAAGAAATGTAACTAAAACAAAGAAAGCTAGATGGGTGAGCAGACAAAAACATGTTCGGGATAATAAAGCAATATGGTCCTAAGTGTTAGGGACTACAAGCACAGACAACACACAGCACATTTAGTAAGTCACAGTTGGCAGCATCCTTAAATCCCTGGAAATGGGCAGTAAACACCTGCCCCAAAATCCTTTTGGATCTCTATGGTCTTTTATCCTAGCTCATCTTGTTAGAGAAGGCCAAGATTGCTCTGTGTGCCTCATGGAAGGATGGAGGCTGCCTATATTGTTCTGCATCAACTTGAATTAGTCTGTGCTCTAGGGTAGGAATCATGCAGGAGGGGCCTGGGCAAGCAGAGGGTACAGCTAGAAAAACAGCAGGAATTTAGGTGGGAACTGGTTCACATCAGATTTCTGCTCTGTTCTTGAAAACAATGTTTTAAGCAGAATTTATGTAAGTTAGAATCTGTCCAAATAAGAACTTGTAAATGGCCAGAGAAACAGTGCCATATTATAAATACTTTAAAGAGTCAAGGTCATTTCAGCTTGAAAAACAAAACTAGGGAGTCAAACAACAGCTATTTTCAAAGAAAACGCTATGTTTACAGACATCCATAGACTTCTTTTTCCTATGAGATTTATAAATAATTAAGACTAAATGATGTGAATTCTATCTAGGGTGATGTATTGTTGTTGTTTTTTTTTTTTTTTTAATTGAGGGAGAACAAACTGATTCAGACTACTATATAAGTGAGATGAGCAAAAAAGGGTAGGCTTTCACTTCAATATTTAAACAGTAGATGGTAAATGTAAAATATTTCAACTGATGAAAATTCAGCTTGAATAATGTATAAAATCCAGCCATGCTATAATTGCTATGCCAAGCCACATCTGTGGGAAATACTACATGTAGTTATTATAATGAGATTTCTAAAATCTAACGGTGTCATTCTTTAAAGTCCATGTATTCACAAAGGGAAAGAAACACAGTAAGTTCACTCCAAGGATGCGGAATGATAGACAGGAAGACAGAGTTGTTCAAGGAACCTTGACTAGATAAAGCTGGGGGGACACAGCTTTCTCAAGAAGTAGAACTTAGTGAAGATTAGGAAGGAACCAGATAGTTGAATACTCTTAGTGCTTCCATAAGTTTTGATTTTAATTTAAAAGCAAAAAGAGGAAAAAAAAAGAGTGGGGAGAGATGAAGGAAGGAAGAAAACAGAAAGAAAGAGCAAAGGAAAGAAAAAAGGAGAGAAGAAACTGGAAGAAGAAAGCCAAGAAGGAAGGAAGGAAGGAAAGAAAGAAAGAACGAAAGAAAGAAAGAAAGAAAGAAAGAAAGAAAGAAAGAAAGAAAGAAAGAGAAAAGAAATAAGGAATAAAGGGAAAGGGCTAGGGGCTAAGGGTCTCATGGAATTTTATGTAAGAAGTGGGAAATAGTAAGAGCTGGAAGGGACAGGAACTCCACAAGGAGAGCAACAGAACAAGATAATTTGAACACAGGGAACTTCCCAGAAAATCATACTCCAACCAAGGACTATTCATGGAGATGACCTGGAACCCCTGCACAGGTGTAGCCCATGGCAGTTCAGTGTCCAAGTGGGTTACATAGTAATGGGAAGAGGGACTGCCTCTGACATAATCTGATTGGCCTGCTCGTTGATCACTTCCCCCTGAGGGGTGAGCAGCCTTACCAGGCCACAGTAGAGGACAATGCAGCCACTTTTGATGAGAACTGATAGACTAAGATCAGAAAGAAGAGGAGAACCTCCCCTATCAGTGGACTTGGGGAGTGGCATGCATGCAGAAAGGGGAGGGAGGGTGGGATCGGGAGGGGAGGAGGGAGGGGCTTATGGGGGGATACAAAATGAATAAAGTGTAATTAATAAAAAATTAAAAAATAAATAAAATTTTAAAAAAGGAAATGTAAAAAAAAAAAAACTGTTGTGTGGATCTAGACTCAAAATCCAACCCCTTCATTTGTTACCTGTCAGCCCTCTCAACAATGGTGTGCGTCAGATGATGCTACCATCTGCTTAGGCTTCATGTCCTGAAATCTTGTATTGCAGCATTGGAGAACTTACATGAAGTGGGAACCGCAACAAGAGGAATCGCTCCCATGAGTGGGGAACTGCTCGCTGTGAGGAGTGGGTGGGTTTGCAGGACTGAGTTAGTTCTTAAAAGAACGGATTGCCGTAAGAAGGGAAAACGAGAAAGGGATAGGATACATGTGACATGAAATTAGAAAGGGACTACCGTGGGCAGAAGGGTACCAGGGGCAGGAGAGGCCAAGAGGATCTGGGAGAAGAATGGAGGAAGCCAACCAACCACACAGCAAGGTATGTGTGAAAATGACACAATGAAAGCAATAATTAACACTCTGTAACAATCTGAGCACCCAAAGAATATAAGTAAAAACCAACAATAAAAGAGCATGTCTTTCTAGACTCTTGCTTCTTGTTTCAAGTGATCTGTTCCATATTCCCTCCGCCATTGTAATGCCCTTCTCCATGAGGACCTCACAGAACTTCCCAGATGATGATGAAGATGATGATGATGATGACACTACGCTCTCCACCCTCCAGAGTGTTAAGCAAAACAAGCCCCTTTTCTTCCAGGCATGGTGGCTCACCCCTTTAATCTCAGCCCTTGGGAGGCACAGGTAGGCAGATCTCTGTGAGTTTGAGGCCAGCCTGGTCTGCATTATGAGTTCCAGGACAACAAAAGCATAGTGAGACCCTGTCTAAAAACCAAGCAAACAAACAAAAGCCCCAATAGACAGACAAACGAATGTATTTTATATATAAAATACTTATACTTAGTTTTGGGCATTTTGTCATGGCAATACAAAACAAACTAAGACACTAGTTCATGGGGTTGTGAGGAGCACAAAATGTTAGTTTAAAGTGGAGGGAGGAAGAGAAGGAGGTAAATTCCCTAGCACACTACCCTCTTAGACTATAAACAATAAAATAGTCATTAGTTTGGTTCCATAAAAGCTTACTTTGATATAGATGTATCTTCTTAATTTATGCCCTAAATGGCTTCAACTCATAAGGGATTGGATTTGAATGTAACAAATACTTTTTTTTCTTATTACATTGTGAAATAACAATCAGTCAAAAATCTTCAAAAGGGGGAATTTATCTTCACAGAATACAATAATTTTTTTTAAATAGGTATTGGGCTGAAGAGATGGTTCGCTGGCTTAGAGCACTGGTTACTGTCCCAGAGGACCAGCGTGTGATTCCCAGAACCCACAGGGCAGTTCACTGGCACCTATAACTTCAGTTTCAGGAGATTAAATGTCATCATTGGTCTTTGCAGGCACCGGGAATACATGTGGTACACAGGCATGCACATAGCAAAACACCACACACATAAAATAATAATAACAACAACATTTTTTTTTAATTTTAAAATGAAACATTGAAGATTTATATTCAAATTCCCAAGTGGTCAAGAAATTCTAATTACCTCTTCTTGAAATGCAATCATGGCCTTCTGGAATTCTTTGGCCTCCTCACTCATGCCAGCCAAAAGCTTTGAGTTTTCATAGAGAGTTTCATTCAGAACTCGGCTAGACTGAAAATTGGGAGGAAAATATATTAAGTTATTCGCGTTAGGGTGTAGAATTTCAGTGTTTTAGGCTTTCCCAGAGCTGTCAAACATCATCTGTGAACATACCTCAGATTTGAAAACAGCTCCTAAGATACCTGCTGCCACTTGCAGAATCAGAATCAGGAGCAAGAAGATAAAAAACTGAAAGACACAAGGATGGGTTATCCTCAGAGTTGCCAGTGACTACCACAGCATTCCAGGGTCACGTGACCCCTGGCAGCCAGAACTGCCTGAAGGTGGAGCTTCAGCCTCAGCCTAACTTTATTTTGCAGTTGTGTTGAAGCTTCAAATTCAAAATCTTTTACTGACCAGAAACATCTGCTTCAAAAATTGATCGAGAAAAGTGGTTGTAATTAAATTTCAATGGAAAGACTCTAGCGTATGAAAGGGAAGTAGGTTTGACAGCCTAGAGGATCTGAATTTTATTTCACTATTCCTGTTTAAATCAAGGTGAACACATACAAGCTTACAACTGGTTTCCAAACAGCGTCTTCACTGTGGAAATCACTGGAACTGTGTTCTCTGTGCATCTCCTGAACTCTACCCATGTACCAGTCTGTTTTGAAAACAAGTTCCTCAAGTAATTAAATTTCCCAAATGGCAAAAGAGTCCTCGTTACTCAAAAAGCTCTCACAGGAAGTGTTACTGGACTCTGGTTAAACGTGTTTCTGCCTTCCCTCATAATAGATGGCTAAGGGCCATTACTCTAAGATATGGACAATGCTTATTTTATTATACAGGCAAGTTTAGATCCATTCAAATTTATAACCAACAAATACTCTTACTTTCTAATAGTTTTATGAGATCTGCTCATTACTTTCTAGTGTATAAGTTCGAAAGTGAACGCCTCTGAGCTATCCCAGCTTCATCCATCCTTCTGGGAAATTTGAAGTGACAAATACAATTATCTTTCTTGCAATTTTGTTGGCACAGCATGTACTTTATGACTTGGCTACAGTGCACACAAATGTATCTCCTATAATGGCTGGAAATAGCCTCTGCCCTCTGCAGCCACACCCAAGACATTCCCTTTCCCTGAACACAGCAGCCCTGGACCCCAGGCTCTCTTTCTTGAGACTACAGCACACCCTCACCCATACAGAGAGATTATTTACTTCTACCTCTGGCTTGAGAGTTTCTCCCTCACCCTCACCCTTCTTTTCAGCTGCTCTCACTGTAGTTTTTACTTATTATTCTTCCCCCAATGGGTTCTGTCTTAAGTTTTCCTGTGTCTGACACACTGAAGTATGGAATAGTGAAGGCATGACTGACTAAAATGTGTCTTCTTTTAGACTCTAAAGTGCAGAGTAAACTAAGATTTAAGCTGATGTAATTCAAAACCTATGCCGTCGCATCTTCCATAACCAAATTCTCTAAAAGAAATTAGGGTTTCATCAAGCTTGGCAAGTCTTTTGACAGATCACAAGGACAGATAACCGTTGAGGCCTGAAGGGTGGGTATTTGGGTTGGACTAGAACTCACCAAGAGAAGCATGCAGCGGCTTTCTTTCACAGCTCCACAGCATCCCAAGAAACCCAGAACCATGATGATGGCTCCAACTGCAATCAAGATATTCACAGCAACGAAAGGGTTTGTGTCAGCGCTTCCAGAAGTGACGATCTAGAAATAAAGACGAGATTGGTGCATGGATTCTTTTTTTTTTTCATATTTATGTTTCTTATTTTCCAAATACCCCGCAGGTACCCACTGGGTGCCAGGTCTTATCCTGAGACCTCGAGGAGTTTTTGTGATCTAAACCAGTGAAAATCTCTGCCCAGAAGAACTCAAATCCTATCAAGGGCCACCTTCCTGAGCTGTATTTCCAGCCTTGCGTTGTCCTAGAATGAAATGGTAGATGTTGAATGGATGAACTATAATGACCTTTTAAAGTTGCTTCTAAAAGCTTAAAAGGAAAGGTGCATTTGGTCCTTTTGATGGGATTTTTGGTTTACACATTGTATATTTTATACTTAGAGTAGCATTATGAAGCCTTTGTTCTAATTACTTTGACCTGAAAACATCCCAGGATCTTCAAGTCGCTGCTGGTTACGTGAATGAATGTCAGAGTCGTTCATATCAACCCTTATCTTCTCATTCTCAGAAGGACTTAGCCCAGACACTTTAATTTGACCTGACTGTCAGATGATGGGATACTGTGGAAAACATCTGCTTATGGCGGGTGGGCTACCCATCTGGTATAATTCAGTTCTTCTGCATGAAACACAAGTGTGCTCCTGCCCATTAACCTCACAGCACCCCAACCACATACTGCTTGTCCTACTGCAGGCATGAGCAGCGGTCAGTCACAATTAAAGGTGGAGATTCTGGGCTAGCATTTCGTATTCATGCTATATACATTCCCCATGCTACCTGGAACCTGTGTCCTGGGCCACCTCTACAGGAAGGTACTCAAGACTCTGCCTTCTCTACTCTACCAGGCCACTCATAGCCTACCTCCTTTAACAAACAATGTAAAAAAAATAAGTGAACAACTAGTGATCCTTTTGTTTTGAGGGCTTTTTTAATCCATTCACACCCTATAGGAAACATTGACTCAACAGTTGGTATGATAGAGTATACCAATATTATGAAGGCCTAAATACAAATATCCATATCCTACATGGGGTCCCAATATGTTACAAGTTTGTAACCCTAGGACAGCAGGCTAACCTGAGCCTTTGGGACCATTTTTGGTTTGTCAAAGGGAAATAGGCCAGTTCTGTGATTTCTAAAGCCTCCTTTGTCTGTAAAAGTATTTGTTGACACATAATGCTTACATTTATAAATTTAAAGCTTGCTTATGTCCTTTTTTATATTTTGGGGAGAGATTTTTGTTTGTTTTGTTGTTAAGATCGGAGCCAGACATCTCCAGAGGGAGAATTAGTTTCCTTTGAGGTTCTGGCTCCTGGTAGAGAGACCACACTGCTCTCGTGGATGGCCTCATCCATGAGTACATGGGCAGCGCAAACTGGACTTGGTGGCTTATTACAACAAGAAGAAATATTAAAAAACAAAAATTTGGACAAGGTGGGAAGTAGACTGGATGGATCTGGAATCAAGGGAGGATTGGGTGATGAATACAATGAAAATACCTTGTATAAATGTATGAGATTCGCAAAGAATTAATAAAATATACTTTTAAAGGGTTAGGAAATTATTAAAGCCAGAGAAATCATTGTTGTTAACAAGCAGGCACAACATCAGAGACAAAACAGATAAGCCAGACAAAGAGCTTTGGGAAGGCAGCTTTGTCTGATCATCAGGACATGCTGTGATATCTAAACACACCAGCAAGGTTGTTAGGACTCAGTAGAGAAAGCCAGGAGACAGAGATAATAGATGGGCTATCTTCGCAGGGAGTTTAAGTACTGATATCTGTGCAGGCAGTAGTAGGACCCATGGTGATGCTGAGCCAGCTGGGCCACCCAGTGCCAGGAACCAGACAGAAAGAAAGCTGCCTGCTGACCCACCAGCAGTCACTCTTGCAAGCTCAGCCCAACAAACACCTATTCTTACTGAAGAATGAACTAGAAATCTGAGCTAGGTGTTTGTGACAGCCAGAAACCCAGCAAGGTTGCCAAAGTTGTCCTGGATAAACAGAGTTTGTGTGGTTCTGAAGAAACACACAAAGGGGCTGGTGAGTCTGAAAGATGAGGATGCTAGGACCTTCTTTAGATTAGCAGAGATGTCCTGAAACAAGCATGGTGCCCATGTTTTTGGCCTTGGGAGCTACTGAGTTTATCCTTACAAACAATCTTTCCAAGGCACGTTAGCAGAAAGAGATGTCACCTCCCTGTCACTCTTTTATGTGTTTGTGCTCATGTTGGCCCTTGTAAAACTACTAATTGTATTTTCCCAGTAATAAAATTCAGCTCTTCACTCAGTGTTGATTCTTTGCTGCTCACTGCAGATGAACACAAATCAAGCTGAGCTCACATAAACCAGGCTGGTTGATGCTGTCCTGGTATTGAGTCGTGTTCTGGGTAGGAGGCTGACAGTGCAAGGATCTAAATGTAGCTAACGGTGCTGTCTCACCCCTCCAGTCCATTTCATTCCCAGATGTGGAGTCACATTCTCTCAAGGACAACAGCTCTCTTTTAATATGTTCAGTGTGTGCTTCCTAACAGACTAAACACCAAGTTGCTTAACAGAAACACTGGGAGAAAGAAAATGTTGACCAGAAATCAAATAATGATATAAAACTCAGGCTGTGTACACATCTTTAAAAGTACTTTTGCAACATAATCTAGAGGAGTACTCTTAAAGGGACGGTTGTTAATTTTTGTTTTTAATTATGAACCTTAACGTCAGACAGAGTATATACAAACCCTCCTCTCAAACCCCAGATTCCGGGGCCATCAGGAACTTAGAGCCACATTTATCAGCATAAATAACAGATGGAATTCTCATGAACTGGGAGGGCAAGACTACCTGCTTCATCCAGCCTCTCCCAGTTCATTCATCTGGTGAAGTACAGAATAAGGAAGTAGCTAACTGCCTCTGGGATTCGCTGAACTCTTTTGGGACAGAAGAAAGTCAAAAGGCAGAGCTAGAGAAAGAGAGGGAAAAAAAGAAGAGTAGGAGGGAGGGAGGAAGAAAGAGAGAGAGAGAAAGAGAATATTTCTGAAAAATCTGTCCATATTAGAAAAGGAAACAAACCAGCCCAGCCATCAGTTTACTTTTAATACTTCTTCCCAACTAAGCTGTGTCCCAAGGCATTTAGTTCTACTATAATATAGTCTAAATAATTTTAAAACATTATCTTCACTTCTAGCTTAATATTATCTTTATAATATTCTATAGGAATCAAAATTCTTCTTAAGGGAGGAAAACCATTGGAGCGAAACCTTTGAAAAGGTTCTAACAATAGAGAATTTGACCCTGACAGGAGCCTGTCCTCACAACCAAGGGTGAGAAAGCTGCTCTGCAGGAGCTAGGAACAGTAAAGTGGGGTGACAGGATACTCTTTGAACTGAGAGGAAAACAGAGAATGAAAATAAGAGAGACAAGAAACGGAGCCAGCCTGGTGTTATTTTGGGTAAATCTGGAACAATGACCTCCCCATACACTCGCACTTTCTCCCTTCTTGCAGATTTGTGGCACTTCAGCATGGAATAGACATAGAATGTGTTGAGTCCAAAGGGCTGGAATTGTGCCTATAACCTAAACATCCAAACCTGAGGACATACTGCTAAGAGCTTTGTCCCTGGGATGAAAAGTCTTGTAATGTGGGGAAATGGGTCTTGTTAACTGTCATACGGTCAAGAAGCTGAACACTACCTGAGTCACTCTACCGTGAGTGGCAGCCTCTGCTTGACATGGTTGCCTCAAATTCCAGTTGCAAGAGGTAAATACCAACTATCCTTGAACTGTGCTGCCCTTGAAATCTAGAGTCACGTTCTTCTCCAAGAAGACATTTCATCTTTCAGTTTGGACCAAGCACCCTGGGATGAGCTACGTGATAATCAGAATGTAATATAGAAGTTGTTCTTGGTGGAGAGGAAAGATGTTCTGTGTCTCTAAGCTGTTCACCACCTGGCCTTTAGTAGTGGAGGAAGGCAAGATTCTGCTTAGACCCCTTCTTACATCTCCTTCTGTTGAAGTCTTTCTAGCTTGAGAATAATGATACTAGAACTTGGGAAAGAGCCCTACCTGGGGTGACACATGTTATCAGTGAAATTGGGGTCATTGCTCAGTGTCCTTAGTCTCATTGAAAAAAAAGAATTTAAGAATGGACTCAGAAGAAAGCTTAAGGAAAATTTTATTTGAGCTTGAAAGAAAAACTGCAGGGCAGATGAGCTATAAATCTTGGCAGATTCCTGGATAAGGAAGATAGTTAAGAGAATGAGAGCCACCATGCTATTCGTTCTGGGCTAGCATGCATGTTCAGCCATAGAGATCAGACGAACAGCCATATGGAAAAACAGGCTGGGTGGGATGGCGGTAGAGTGAGCCTCATATCAGCACCAGGCAGATGAAGGACTCAGAAAAGCAGGCAGGCTTAACTCAGTTGTATGTGTGTGCTCTGTTATTGACTACATAGAGGGCTGGGACTCTGGGATGGCAAAATTCACTATCTCATTAAGGATATAATTCCTTCTGTGTTTTTTAAATGGCTTAAGATAGATCGGCCTTCCTGAGGACTGGTCCCTTGGCCAAGTGATTGACTAGTCCAATCGGATTGACCAACTCTTAGCATTTTGTGTAGCTTGGAACCTTAGATTTCTATCCATGCCAGAAAAATAGCTTTCCTTTAAGTCACATGGATGTTTCTGTAGTAACAGCATGCTCCTCTCAGCTCTGCAGAAGGACTGCTCCATGCAAGGCACATAATAAGCAATTTTGATTGCCTCAATTATAAACCAACATGACGTCACAAGTGATGACTGAGGCATTATAAGAAGAATGGTATAGAAGATTTACTATTTGTCATTGCCTTTCATTACGGAGATAAAGTTGCTTCGTGTATCCATATTTACCTCTTTACCATCCTTGCTGACTCTTATCCATATTGCTAGTGCCAGAATCACTGTACCACATACCTGTAGACAAGGAAAACAAAATGTTAGAATACAAAGATAAGTGAGATAAGTGAAATGCTAATTCCATAAACTCCATTTATCTGGCTGCTGCCACAGTTCATGGATAACCAGACCATTACGGTGTATAAGAATGACAAGAATAGCAGTCCATTCATAGTGTTAAGACAGGAAGAAACTTTTGCTAGGAGAAAAAAAGACATTTCCCATAATCTAATTCCAGTCATGTCAGTTTTTTTTTTTTTTCCTTATGGTTTAAAGATAAGATAGCCTTAATATACCCCTGAATTTGACTCTTGGACTCCAGTCATCATAACTTACTAATCATCCAATATGTATTCAGTATTTCTGAAGAAGATAAAAGTTTGCAAAGACAGACAATAGTACAACATTTGACAAAATGTCAAACTAAGCAATGATACTATATATCAATCAATATTTTTCATGCAAATAAACTTTTTTTAAAAAATATAAGTTATTTCAGGTAATAAGGCTACCCAGAGAAAAGAAACAATGAAGAACAGTATTTGAAGTCTTAAATCCCCTTAATGGCTTTTCCAGATTATTTAATTTGGACCATGGCCAACACATAAAATCTGAAACACATTTTACCTTAGTGTCAGGAAAACTCTTGTCTCTCAAGGTTAAAAAAGGAAGAGATATACTAACAGCCTCAGAAAAATCAAAGATGCATTATTCCATAGAAACATTGAGAGCAGCTCCAGTAACATACCAGACATAGTAGGTGTTATCAGACTTTCTAGATGTTTCTGACCTTTCTGTACTCTAACAAACAAATTTTTGAAGTCTCCCAAATCCAGTGACCTTGGAGTGTCATTGCTTTCACGCATACATGGTTGAACCATATGCGTGCAACCCTCAAGCAGAACCGTTAATGCTTTCTCACTAAGTTTTCAGTAGAAATCAGGTCAAGGGGATTATTTTTTAAAAAAATGTTTTTTAAAGGCAGTGCACTGAGCAGCTGAGGAGACATGGAATCTCTGCTGCCTAAAAGACCTCAAGAGTCTTCTAAGTCCAAACTGTTTGTTAAGATAAAGTAACTGTATCCTGATAGATTACAGTCACAAGGTTGAAATCCAGGCCAACTCCTAACCAATCAATCCTTCCTCCATGCTTTAACTCCTACAAAAATTGCCCCAATTATCCTAACACAATTAAAAAAAAAATTCTTTGTCTACTAGCCAATAGCCTCTGCAATTGACTATCTTATACACAGGCATGCATAGATGTTATACAACATAAATTAATAAAAGTTTAGAGTTGCAAGCCTTTTTGTCCCTTGTTTCCAATAAAGCTAATATTTACAAATGAAGATAAAGGCCCATGAAAGCAGTTACTAGTTAGCAAGTCAGAAACTGAGAATTAGTGTCAAATAATAACAAGACTTTCTGATAGTGATTTTGTAATAATCACAGTTTTCTTGCTTATGAATTGATTTTCTTACTGATATTTTCTGGGTTTTTTTCTACTCCCTTTGCAAATATATTTGTAGTGATCATATTTTTAAAATTTTACTCTTTTTTGCAGCATAGACGATGATCTATTTTATTTACTTAGACAGACAATGCTAGTATATGCATCATTTAAGTAGTTTTTAACTTATCTATTTACTTATTACAATTTGTTCACTTTGTATACCAGCTGTAGCCCCCTCCCTCATAATTTCTTACAGAATATTTTTATTTTATTTTTTTCTCTCCAAATTCCCAAGCTATCCTGTCTCTCTTCCCACCCAATTTCATATTCTTTCTCTCTATTGAAAATAAAAACAAAATAAAAATCCACTAAAAAAGCATGGAGTCTGATTTGAGTTGGCCAACTGCCCATGAGTAGCCAGTCTGCTTGGAGTATGGTTGCTATGGCCAGTATCACTCCATTGATGAAAACTGATTTGCACTCTCCCAGCTGCTATCAATTACGAATAGCTCATTGGCTAGGGCAGGGAGTTTGTGCTCATTTTTTGTGCTGGGATTTTTGTCTCCCTTGAGTTTGTCCAGATCTCAAGCATGCTTTCACTGTCTCTGTGAGTTCATATATGTATCTACTGCATGAAGAACCTTCTCTGATGAGGGTTGAGGGGCGCGCTGATCTGAGTGTAGTGATATGTCATCAGGAGTCATTTTATCACTATGTTCATTTAGCAATAAAATAATAATAATAGGTTTTCCTTTGGGGCCCCATGACCTATCTAGTCTCAGGTTCCTGGCCTCTTCAACGGTAGCAGGAATGGGTTCTGTCTCATGGAAGCCCTCAAACAGTGGTTGGTTACTCTGATGTCGGCCGGGCCACTTGTGTGCCAGTGGGCATATTTTGCAGGCAGGTTGTTGCAATAGCACTCAGGGGTCATAGCTGGGAGAAACTGATGATTGCTTTTCTCCTTGAGTAGCCTGTATAACACTTAGGCAGTAGGAATGGGGTTTTCACTGGGTACCAGTCGGATTTCTCTATGTTTGATAACATGAGTGTGTGATGTCTTAAGCAATAAGGTGTTACCATCAAGCTGCAGAGGGTAGCTAATAGCATTAGCAATTGCCTGCAATTTTGGGGGGAGTTTATGGGACACTTTTGGCCAACAATTAAAAAATATGTAACTCATTCCTGGCACTGGGAGTTTTATTTGGTAGCGTTTGATGTGTAGTTGGAATACTATCTCTCCTATTATATGGTAACTCCACTTAAATTCCTTTTAGATGTGTATAGACTTTAGGAGGCTTCTACAGTAGTAGGTTTTCATATGGCTTTCAAAAGGCCTTACGTGCTATTTATCCCTCTCCATATTGCCTCCTCTGTCCTGATCTTAAATTCCTCACACCCTTATACTGATCACATTGATAGCTACTCTGGCTTTTAACTTACCTGCAAGTAATGTCAACTAACCTAGTAACTATTGTTTATATAGAATTTATCATACTGTCAAAGAAAAAGTTGTTTGTTTCTTTTTTAATTTTAATTTATTCACTTTGTATCCCAGCTGTAGCCCCCTCAAAAAATAAGATAAGAATAATAAAGAAAACTTGGAGTAAGAATGTGATATTCTTTAAACCTTTATTTCATTTTGTATTTCTATTTATTTCATTGTTTTGAAGTACTTAGAATACTTATATCTTAAATATATATCTTATTCATTTGACCCTCAAACAATATTAGGTTTTCTCAGCCACTGAACATTATCTGTAACAAAAACATTGAAAAGGAAGAGTATTTAATTATTTCAAAAGTCAAGAATAGTTTGTCTAATTTCAGTCTTCACAATTAGACAAATCCTTCTGCAGATATTGAAATTGGCTAAAATATCACGTCCATTCCCACTGCTACCCCTCTTTTCTAATATTTTAGTTTTAAAATGAAAATATATTGTTTAAAACTTTCTCATCTCATTGGATCAGCTCATATGTGAGGATCACAAGCTTAATATCATTAGAACCTTCATAAATGCTACCGCTGATCTTAAAAGTAGATGTGTCTTCTGTCAAGTTGACTAAGTACAGACCAGTTCATTCCTATTACTTTTAGGCAGACCAACATAGTGAGTTCATGAGGCCATCCCCATGCTTTTCCTTTAAGTCTAAAGATTTGTTAAGTTATTAAGATATACCTAGATGTGGATATTTTTAGCTGTAAGACTGTGAAATGAAAGGAATTAATTAGTTGGCTCTCGGCATGGGCATGTATAATTAACTGCTCCATCTTTATTCTGGTCTCACTTTCAGGAGAGACATTGTGCTTTTTACCCAGTTCTAATTTGACATCTTTGATTTTTTTACAGTTAAGATGTGGCTGGTCTGAATCAGTATTCTGAGAAGAGAGGCAATTTTGGTGTTTGTGTATGGACAAGCAATGGTCTGATCACTATCTCCCTACTCTCACACCCTGTTTCAATGCCTATATTAAGAAATAAGACTTTTAGAAGAAAATTTAGGTTGAATGAGGTCTTCAAAGTAGACCCCTAATCCAGTAAAATTCTGGACCTTTGAAGAGAAATCTTTCTCTGCCCATTAATTAACCTCTAGGAAGGACCCTGTAAGAACATAGGAAGAAGGCAGAAGACCCTTGCCCAGATACCCTGCTGGCAGCACATCAATCTTAGACCTTCCGGCTTTCAGAACTGTAAGAAGTTAATTTTGTTTCAACTACCAATCCATGGTAATTTCTTATAGAGGCCCAAGCTAACTAAGACAAAAAAATATGCTGAAATCAACAAAATATCAGAAAGAATAGCAAGACATCATAAGGAACTATCTTTTGATTTGAGTTCTGCAGGACTTGACAGACATGTATGTAGGTACCTAGAAACCCAAGCTCAGCTTACAATAGTTCCCAATGGTCATTAGTGGAAAGAGTCTGTATAATCAACACAACAGGCTTGAAGCCACTTGCGTGGGGATATCTGGGGTCTCCTCTATGCAGACTGGAGGCCCACATCATTGGGGGTATCTTACCTTTATTCTCACAGACTTCTTGCCTTGTGAGAAAAGAGGAGGGTAGACTAGGACTAATGTTTTAAAATCCAACAGTGCAAAAAAAAAAAAAAATATATATATATATATATGTATATATATATATATATATATATATATATGTATATATATATATATATGTATCATTTGAGGGGTGAGTTTTTCTATTAAGAAGCAATATGAGCCATCATTGGAATAAAAATAATGTCAATTAAATTACTGATTACCAATCCTTACTTATAAGTTGTCATAAAGTATCTTAGTTAATCTTTACAGTTAATCCTCCTAAGTGCATTGGATGCATGCACAAAGTGGAGCACAGAGTAGCCAATGAGCATGTCAGCACACAAAGCAAGAGGGGGCAAGATTCAGGATCTGGATTGCAACTGGTGTGAACTCACATTTTCTTCAAATTTGTTTAACTGTGATGAAAAGAATTCTTGCCTTATCATAAATTCTTTCTGTCTTAGTTCCTCTTCTGTTCCAAAATCCAACATAAAAATTTACTCATTGAGATATGAATAGCTTCCTATCTTTTTTCATTAAAATGCCTATAAAATGTTGACTAAAATGCCATTTTTCATCAGGGCTTATTGTTATTTTGAGTCTCTTATGCACATTAACGCCCTTAATCATCACAATGATCTAAAGAGGTAGACAGAGCTATGGTCATAATTTGTGGAGAGGACAAACTGTAAAGTATCAAGAAGCTATTTCCTCCATGGAAAGACAGCTGGTGAAGAAATAGCACCTGTTCTACCTAAGCTCATGACAACTGGGCATTTATACCAACACTGTTGCCACAGTTCAACTGAATAGCGTTAATAGCGCAATGAAAAGCAGCTACTGTATTAACAAAGTTCATAAATTTCAGTCCCGCTCAGCTGTTTATTGTGCGTCTTTTCATCAGCTGACAGGATAAAATAAAATTGTGTCCTGTCATTTGTGATGTACCCTTATCTCAATGTCTGCTTTGCATCCAAGCTCTTAATGAAGCTGAGCACATCCACTGTAGAAAAGACAATGAACATTGAGTCACTGGTTCCTGGATTTGCTTCATGTTCTGACTACTTTCTGAACACTTCAAACTCCCTTCCTTATGCATTTATCATTTCAGGGGTAAATGTCTTTGGCCTTCTGGCTTAAGCCCTTTCCCTCTCTGTGCTCATTAGAAAACTAGTAATGTGTCACTGTGCTTTTCGCCATGAGACCTGTTGGCCACACGATGCTCTGAGTCTAGAATTTATCCTGCCTCTTCCTACAGAAGTCCCATACTCTTTGCTTATCCAGAAGCCTAGGAAACAATTTCTTTGATACTCCAAGGCCTGTCCTCTCTAAGACGGGTGTGAGAAAATTTGGACATTTCCTGTGTTTGACATAATAGTCAGGGAGATAGGTTTTGTATCTGCAATGTTTCTCTTATTGATAATGCCTCCAATTCTCCCATTTGCAGCAATTTCCATCATGATTAGGAGTGATTTTCAATGCATGTGTTTTTCTCCCAAGAGCAACTCTGTCAAATGCAAACCACCACATACTTGTGTGGCACATCAAGCTCGTCCTGAAGGGAAACCAGGATGTTCAGATCAAATGACCACATGCATATCTCAGAGATATTTCAACATCTGGCCCAACTTTACCAAAGCCAAGTTTCACAAGTCAGAACCAGAAAGAATGCATTTTAAACACACCAGGCCAGGGACATCTCCAAGAAAACCACATCAATGGGAACACTAAAATTTTTGCTTAAGTAAACATTAAGAATGTGACAAATTGCTAATTTTCTATGAAGGATCATAACTTTCCAACTGAGAGCTCTGGACTGAGGGGAGACAGGAAAGGGAAAATAAGAATGTCCCCTTGCCTCAGGACCAGCTCCAGATGCCTAGATTTTTATTTAAAATGCTGATGTGATGTATGGCTAAGAAGCTTTCATTGGCCTTTCTAACTATTGTTCTCACCAAGACTCTTCGTCCCTTACACAGAGATTGCAGGTCCCACCACACAGGACGATGAGTCAAATCCATGAAAGAAGTTAATCTAACTGAAATCTGTAATATCAGAAAGATTTCAGGTGTGACCCCAAAGAAGACTAGATTGCAACCATAAAGTAATCAGAGTTCCCCAGGAAAGCTGGGACAGTGTCTGGGAATAAAAAGGTGCGCATTGAAGACAGCTGCAACTGACCTTGAACCTTTATCTTAAACCCATTATATATATATTCCTTTCCTGGATTATCTTTATGTATTGTTTTCGGTTAAAATTTGGATCTATTCCAAATTCCTGTTTGTGAATTAGACAATGAATTCACAATTTCCATCATCCCTTTGCATTTTCTGTTTATACAATAAAGATGTATTTTAATTTCTTCCTAATTTGAAGGTCGCTTCTGGCTTCTGTATTGTCAGACACATTTTTTAACATCTTAAACCCTAGTCATTTATTATATTAATATTTATTAATTTTTTCTTGTTTAAATTATCACAAATATATGAGTCCATACATATATCATAGAAACATAAACAATGACTACAATTCTGTAAAAGAAATAAAGAGATTAGTACTTTTTAAAGATATAGGTAGTTCTAACTCTTTCCAGAAAATGAATAAATGACTCTTGTAGCACTTATTAATAAAAAAGTGATAAGAATTATTATAATCATGTGAAAAAGAACCAGAAACCAACTTGAAGTGCTTTTTGGCAAAAAGCCAGAACAAATTATATATTGATAAGGACAAAAACTGTGTTGAACTGTATATATATATATGTCTTCCTTATGAAAACATCCATATATATATATATATATATATATATATATGATAAAACATCACATATATTTATATATGTATCTATACCTCTGTGGGTGCATACACACTGGATGCCCTGGAAACCAAACAACAAATTTCTCCTCAATTAACATATGAAGAAATACTGATAGCCGTAGGTTAGTAGTCATTTCAGTCTTTTGATGAACCAAGAATGAACTGAAAGATCATCACAAACAGTGATGCATCCTGATGAAAGACCATAGCATTATTTATGTAATAGTAGTTTCTCCCCCACAAAAGACCAAATCCTGTCAAGCGGTCTGATGCCATTACTAACTTACAGAAATACAGAAGACAGAAAAGTATAGTAAGGTACACCTTGGGTATGTGAAAAGCAAAATTCAAACTATAGAAACTTCAATAAGACCAACAGAAAAAAACTACACAAAATTTCAAAAATGGAGGTAAATGATAAGGTTTGAGGGAGAATCTACAGATTAAAATTGCTGCACAAGCTGTTTCAACTGACCCAATTTGTGGACCTTTTCTGGAAAACAGTTCAAATAAGGTGTTTGAAGCAATTGGAAATTTAAACCCTGATCAAGAATTTCATATGAAAAATTTAAAGTATGAGAACGATATTGTAGATACATTAGTAAATGTGATTTCCTTTCAAGACATATGCTAACATATTGAGAGATGAATAATAACCCTAGTATTTTCTTCCAAATTACCTGGGCAAGTAACTGAGAACACGCATGTACAGATTGGTTTCATGGTTTCGGAGGCTGAGTAATGGAGTTCATTTTCCAAATTTGTCTTTATTTGTGAATGTTGGAAAGATTTTTAAAAAGCCAGAGAACAGATTCATTTCTTCCTTTATATTCCCCTTGATGACTTTTATAATTCGAGAAGCCGTATATAAGATTACTTTTTAAAATTTGCACGTATTCTCGAGCTTCAGAATAGTTTTCTAGTTTCTAGTATTTTCAGAATCAGCCCATTTTAGGAAAAAAATGACAAAGTAGAAAGAACAAAACATTCAATTCTCTTGCTTATTTATATAAATAAATACTTATTTAATTAATTTCATTCACTTATATGTCACCTATATTTATTAGGGCCATTGAGTGGGAAGTCATTTCAGACCATAAAGTTACATTAGTTTGTTTAAATTATCATTATTTTAATGAAATAGAAATTTATGAGATTGGAGCTTTGCTTTCACCCCAATGCCCTGTCCATCTCTCTATTTAGCTCGTTACCCAAAGACAAGAAGAGAAATATATATATATATATATATATATATATATATATATATATATATATATTATTGAACTGATACCAGCCATCTCTCTATTAAAGGCCAAAAGGTTAAGACACAAAGCCAGAGCTCCTTATTCTTAATAATGCATAGCTACTTTTCAATCTAGAAAAAGCACCCTGGAATATATCCATTGCTTTACTTGTGGACAGATTTCAGTTATTCCATATACCTACACAGCGGTAAGGCTGTTTCCCCAACATCCCAACCCACCCCTTCAAATCATGATACTCATTTTTCAGTGTTAAATGATACTTTCAATGTATTCGTTTTAGCAACATCAACAGACTTCAGCAAAGCATAATTTGCAAGATACAAACCCTGTTGTTTGAAAAAGTGGGTTGATGACACATCAAAATACTGACTTCAAAATACTAATACGTAGTCACTGGTTAAGCTCAATCTAATGATTAAATACTCCTACTGCTTCTCCTGGAGTATTTCAAGACCTATTATTTTTCCTGGGGGCTCTGAAAATGGTCCTCTCATTTATTTATCACCCCATCAGCCACTAGTTAGTCACCTGTTTTAAACCCAGATATGAAAGGGAGGGAACTAGAAGCCATGCTGAACCAAACTGTTTTCCTTGGAGTCCTAAAACCAGAGAACGCTGATTGACATACACTAAGAATAATTGTCCTTTAATTAAGGGATACTTTCTTCTGTGTTTAGTCTTGCAACAATATGAAAACATTTGGGAAATGTTTATCTTCTAAGAACTTGAGTACACTTTTTTGAGTCATTGGCTTATTTTCAGTTCTCCAAACAACCAAAGAGAAACAAACAAATCTAAACATTTAAATGGAAAATGTCTTTTCCTCCTCATCCTCTAGCTCTGCATAAGTCTGTTCTTGGTTATGATATTTATCTCAAGATCCTCTCTCTTGTACAAAACTGATAATTAAAAGAAAAATACTTACCCAGAACAAGAAGTTGAAGAAAAACATGGTATATTTTAAACAGCCACTCACACCTGCCATATCGGAGAAGGGACAGCCACCCAGGTACAGCAGATGAACTAGTCTCTAAGGCAGTAGAGTCCGGCAGTAGGCTCTGGGGGATTTGGCCTGCAGAGAGCTGTGTGCCTGCAGCTTCAGAGCAAAAACAGAGAGCAGGGAAGTAGACGTAGACGGAAGAAGAAGAAAAAAAAAAAAAAACAGTTATTGAAGTGGATAAAAAATTAACCCACACATTTAAATATCCCAAACGTTATCTTGAGGCGAGTATGTTCTTTTCCCTTGTTATGGCTCCTAAGGCATTGGGCCAGGATATTTATGATCTGTTCTCAAAGCCTGCTCCCTCTAGAGTAAACAGATATCAAGTTAAGGGAGTGGCCGGAGCAGAGGTGGAGAATGGCACAGCCAGATAGTAGGTGGAGAGGCTGGCACTGCTGCCCTCTATTCTAACCATGCGGAAATAGGCTGTCATGCTCTCAGATAAATGGGCCTTGTGTCTTACTTCATTTTGCATTACGTTTTGATAAGAGCACAAAGTTTCTTTCAAATGCAGCAGTAGGTACTTGGAAACCTGCAAAGCGTCCAGGCTTAAGTTACAGCAATCTTGCATCCTGAAACAACTATTAATGCGTGCTCTCTTTCTTACGCTGTGTGTCCTGTTTGTTTTGTTGTTGTTGTTGTTGTTGTTGTTGTTGTTCTCCAAAAGGAATCCCAAAAGAGCTCCCTTAAAAACCTGTCTTTTTCAAGAACTGAAGGAGAGGTGGCCTTGTAAGTTAGGGTAAAACCATTCAGGGTTTTTCTTTACCTCTTTGTATGGAAAAGAAAAAAGAAAGAAAATCTCCAGAGCTGCTACTGACTGCCCCCACTGTGTTCAGTTTATGACTCAGTAGCCAGGGTTGATAGCCGGGTTTGTTTTTAAGGTGGACTCTGGTTTCTTTCTTCTGAGAAATGACCTACAGCAGCAGTTCCACTCTAACTCAGTTTCGGGTTCTAGGCAGTTGACAAAGAAAATTCCTTTGGGAGCATGCTTGTGGGCTCCTGAAAGCAGCTCATTCAGCTATTTGTGGTGCTAATGAGATTAACCTTCACCAGGTAAATGCAGGATTCTGGGAACTATTTAGACAACTTGCTTTGAGAAAACAACCTGGATCTTGAATCTTTCCATATCCTGCCTCTCAGAGGACCTTCCTTGCCTCCTAAATAAAACAACCCTGAAGTATATTCAGGAGTTTGAAAAATAATTCCTTCAAGTCTTTATTAAATGCAATTATAAAAAGTAACCGGAGTCCTATCCTACAAAACGAATCTTTCTAATTTTCACTGATATATGGCTTTACTCTGCAACTATAAATATATTTCTGATGCACTGTTAGCAGTAATATTTGCTGTAACAGGTCAAATTTAGGATTAGTTCTCCACTGATGAGTAGGACAGTGAGCTTCAGGAACCAGTCTCTGCCCCCCCCCCCCCCCCCAGCACTGCCACTACAGATGTCTGTGATCTGCCTTATCGCTTCTTCACTTAGATGCTGGAGAAACAGACTCGGCTCTCTGGGCCTCTGTCACAGACACTTTACTGGCTGCGCCAGCATCGCCCCAGCCCGTGCCCACGATCTGCCAGCATCGCCCCAGCCCGTGCCCACGATCTGCCAGCATCGCCCCAGCCCATGCCCACGATCTGCACAGACCCCTCTGCCCTCTTACATTCGCTTATCTGTGTCTCTCTATTTGACTATTTATGCCAGAAAAGCAGAGGTCCTGGCCCGTTCCCCTTGATAGTCATAGCATCTTACACCGGAGATAAAAGAGAGTGGGCCTGCAATCCAGACGCCCAGAAAGTCCAATTAGTGACTCCTTCATGGGGCTCCATGGGAAACTATGAGCATGTTATTTGTTATGACTTATTTAAACTATGCATGATGGAAATGGAGAGAGAGAGAGGGAAGGAGAGAGAAAGACATGGGGAAGAGGGGGTGCCCCAACAGGGAAAGGAGGAGGAGAGAGCAGAGAGAGAGAGAGAGAGAGAGTGGGAGACCTGAAGTACTTGGCCCAGATGATGTTATAGGATACAGGTACACATAGGACATTGTCAGGATCCTAAAGGTCCCTAAGGACAGGCCAGTTGAATTACCTACACAACATAACAGTATCCAAACATCAATCACATTGCTGTATTTAAAACCCTTCAGGAACTGTTAACTTTCTAACATTTATGCTGCAATGCCCAAATGAACACACCCATAAAATTTCTTTCCAGAAAGATATCTGGAACCAGTGTCACAGATATGGGCATATTTTCTGAAAGGTGGATGTAAACAAAAGCTCAAATTGGATATTTTAAGGAAGTGTCACTCCAGGCTATCGAGGAGGACAATGCAGCCAGTCCTGATGAGACCTGATAAGCTAGAGTCAGATGGAAGGGGAGGAGAACTTCCCCTACCAGTAGACTTGGAGAAGGTCATGGGAGGAGATAAGGGAGAGAGGGTGGGGTTGAGAAGGAATGAGGAAGGGGGCTACAGCTGGGATACAAAGTGAATAAACTGTGATTAACATAAAAGTTAAAATTAAAAAAAAAAAAAAAAGAATGTGAGTACAAAATGCAAGGACTATTTTTTTTAAATCTTTAAAAAAAAAAAAGAAAGTGTCACTCTGTTCACGAAAACTGGCTTGTGACAATGTCTCTTCTAGAAACAAAATCGTGTGATGACTATCAGATCTAGATTCTGTCCACCAGCGTCAACTGTTGAATTTTGAAGTTTGAGTCATTTAGCACCTTAATTTCGACGGGGATTGTGGTCCAGTTATTCAGATAATATAGCAGGAGTAGGGTGGAGTACGGTGGGTGAGGTGAGGTGAGGTTGGAGATGTCAGTCTTAAATCTTAGACCTTATAAAAGATCAAACCAGGAAAGGGGGGCAATGGCAAATAGGATATTGTAAGGACAGAAGACAACTAGGAAAAAGGGCAGAAACTTCCAATAAATTTGGATAAAGTTGCCCTAGTATTGCCATCATGCCGATCCCTGTTACTCATAGTACAATGTGCAGGGTAAATAAAGGAGGGTAGAATTCAGGTCTGACTAAGCATAGAAACCTCCGTGACGAGGTCACCACTGAGTCAAGTTTGCCCTCAGTACGAAAATCCTGGCAGGGGAGAGAGAAAGATTATTCTCAGGGTGGTGGAAAGGGCATAAGCAGGAAGGTCAGGGTCCTTGTTTTAATACAGCATTTCCTCCAGGCAATCAAATTTCCACGTGGGAGCTGCTACGATGTGAATGAGCCCCTGAAGGTTCACATGCTACAAATGTAATCTCTGATACAACGGTGTCAAGAGGTGGAGATTGTAAGAGGTGGCTGTAATCATAAGCGATTTACCGTATTCTGGTGTGAGTGGGTTCGTGGGTTCTTATCTTGAGAATGGATCGTTTTGTAAAAGCATGGTAAACCTTTCACGTGCCCTTTCCAGCACAGCATGCTCTCCCCCATGCTCATTCTCTCTCTTTCTCTCTCTCTCTCTCCTTCCCTCCCTTTCTCCATTTCTCTCTCTCTCTCTCTCTCTCTCTCTCTCTCTCTCACACACACACACACACACTCCTCTGAGCTTCCGCCATCTGCCATGGAGTTTTGCAGCAGCGTGAAAGCACTCATCCAACACAGCCTCTTGGACTTGAATTTTCCTAAGCTGTGGAACTGTAAGAAAGGAAACTCTCCTCTTTAAGACTCATGCATTCTTATAAACTCTGTTTTAAAGGCATCAGACACAAAGGCAGAGCTTGTTGAGAAAGTAGTCATAACAATTATGTCACAATGGTAGTCTTTTCTCCTGTACAGGACCCGCCCTAAATTCCATCCCCCAAATTACATGCTGGGTACCTTACGAACTGTTGTGAGCACAGCAGTTTAGAAACCAAGGTTTAAAGTATCTGTTTTCAAAGATTTTATACTAAGATCACTTCCCCTTTATATTTTCAAAATCCAGTGATTAAAACAATAATTCTCAATGAAGTATTTTAAAAAAAAAAAAACTACTGACATGTTTTAGAAAGAAAAAAAAAAGATTTTTTTCTGTTGTTCTCTGTATGCTCATGTTACTGCCACTCTGATATACATGCATCACATTGTAAATAATGAGTTCATCTTCTCAAAGGTTAGTAACAGTGGGAGGAGATTGATGCTGTAATGTTGTGATGACTGTACTTAGAAGAGTATTGTAACGGCGTCAAATCCCACATATTACCATTGTTGTTACTCACTTTACATCCTGATCACAGCCCCCTCCCTTGTCTCCTCCCAGTCCCACCCTTCCTCTCTCTTCCCCCCCATCCCTCTCCTAGTCTAACTCTTAGAAGGAGGGAGGCCTCCTCCCTTACCAATTGACTCCAGCCTATCAAGTCTCTTCGGGACTGCCTGCATCCTCTTCCTCTGTGGCCTGGCTAGGCCACCCCACCAGTGGGAAGTGATCAAAGACCATGCAACAGAGTCCATGTCAGAGACCACTCCTGGTCTCTTTACTAGGTGACATGAAGACCGAGCTGCCTATCGGCGACATCTGAACAGGGGGTCTAGGTCCTCTCCGTGCATGGTCCTTCGTTGGCGCATCAGTCTCTGCAGACCCCCCTGGACCCAGATTTTTTTGACACTGTTGGTCTTCTTCTGGAGCTTCTGTCCCCTCCGGGTCCTTCTATCCCGCCAACTCTTCTCTGTGCTCTGCCCAAAGTTTGGCTCTGAGTCTCAGCCAGATCTTATATCTTAAATTATTAAAGTGAGAAGAAAGTTCTCTAGTCTCATTTGGAGCCCTCACCCCTGTCCTTTGTAGAAATCTAAAGAGTGGAGCTTCCAGTGTGTTGTGTTCTAATCTAACTCCTGCCTGCCCGAATCCGGTGTTCTGCTTGGTGCTTCCTTCCTGAGTGTTGACACAGCCAGCCCAGGAAGCCTTTCCTGTATTCCCACTGGAGGGGAAAACGCATATGTTATGAGGACACTCCCCTCACTCCTTTGTAGAACATTTTAAACAACAAGCTGTGCTTACATTAATTATAACTCAGAAGTAAATGTGGTTACAATTACAAATGCCAGTATTTAATATTCTTCACCCTCTATAAATCTTTTTGATTTTGAAATACTCATAGCCAGGCACAGTGGTGCATCCCTTCAATCCAATCACTCCAGGAGGCAGAGGCAGGGAGATCACTGTGAGTTTGAACAGTCTGGTCTACAAAGCGAGTCCAGAACAGCCAAGGCTACACAGAGAAACCGTCTCTCAAAAAAATAATAGAATAAAACACTCACGATTTGTTTCTGACCATGAAACAATTA